TATGTATTTGGTGCCTTCTTGTGCCGATATCTATGTGATAAAATAAATAAATAATAATTTCCTCAAACATACTCATAATTGATCACCGGTTAGATATAGTCAACTAGAGATCCATGACCTACTCAAACACGTTAAATAAAAAAAAATAAGATTTTAAAGTAGCCAAAATTTTAATGTGCTTGTAAGGAATCAAATAAACAACTTTAAAGAATATTACCACTATGACATATCTAGGTGATCATACAAACAATGGATTGCATCGTTAGCCATAAATATTGCCAGAAGTTTTCTAATCAAGTTTAAAGATGTTAAGTGTTTAGATAATTATTTAATTGCATACAAAGTGAAACCAATGTTACTTTTTGAGTTCTACTGATTAAATGGATAAGCATAAAGGATAATGAACATGGTTAAACTCTACTGATCATAGCTTCTCATTAGTACTTAAACAGTACTTTTTAAAGAATATGCATAGCATTTGTATTCACAATTAATTGATCATTGGTTGATGATCAATGTTATGTGTGTCAAGTCCTTCTTAGTGTAGATCGAATGCTATCAACCACACTGGGTGACATGGGATCAAATCCATTAGGGAGCACCAGTTCCGTCAAGATTACAGATACACCTTACTGACGAGTGTCCAATAGCATGAAACTTGAGTCCAGGATTTCCTGTTGACTAACTCCAATCACCATCTTATATCATTTGTCACTTAATAACTTTAACGAAATATTACACAAATCATTTTTATATTCTATTTATGGTATGAATCCCTAGTTGACAATAACTAAAGAATATTATAAGTTGTTAGTTATATTTTGTCATGGAAATAAATAAATATCAATTCAAAAATGTTTATTATGTGATTTGTTTACTTTTAGAGGTTTTGTAGATGCAGATATAAACGAATTATGAATCCAACAGTACAACCATTAGGACCGAAGTTGTTTTACAATTACATAGAAGATAATTTTATGGTTAGCTTATACTCACATAATTATCCATATACACACAATATCTTTTTTGCTTACAGTCACTATTTACTGCACTAAATGTAAAGTGTGATGGATTATTTTTGTGATTTTGATACAATAATATGTGTCTCTTTTTTGGTCATTTTCTTTGGTGACTAGAAAGGCAAACATATTGAATTATATTTATTTATAATAAGCTTTACTTAATTAATTGATTTGGTTATTTATTCTTTATTTTGTAGGCTCAAGGTCCAACACCAAAACAACGTCTCTTATCATGGTTAAATAATAAACTAGCTGATCGACCAGTTAAAAATTTCACAACAGATTGGAATGATGGTATTGCAATCGGTGCACTAGTTGATGCTTGTGCACCAGGTTTATGCCCTGATTGGAGAGAATGGGAACCTAAACAAAATCTACGTAATGCTCGTGAAGCAATGGGTGCTGCTGAACAATGGTTAGATGTTCCACAATTAATACGTCCAGAAGAGATGACTAATCCTAGAGTTGATGAAAAAGCTATGATGACATATTTAAGTCAATTTCCTAGTGCTAAATTAAAAGATGGTGCACCTTTAAGACCAAAATCAAATCCTGGTCTTGTTCGAGCTTATGGTCCTGGTAAGTCGATACACTAATCTAGATATAATTGGTAAACAATTGCATTAACCATTAAAGTCACGTTTTATTGGATTATATCCAGCTTTTTCATGATTGCTTTCTTTTTTTTCTTTCAAAACACTCAATACAGACAAATTGGGGCCGACTGACTTCAAATTCGGGAACAAATTTTAAGCCAGATATTCTGATAAATACCCCAATAAAAATTTAAGCTTAACGATAAGGTTTAGTGTAGGGTTGTAGAAATTGTTTAATTTCATCGAACTTATGAAAAGATCTAAGTTAGGCCACCACTGAAAACCTGGAAGCATTAGATTGCTGTTTCGTCTTAATTTCCAAGCACACAACTCGTTATTGACAATTATCATGTATTTACAATTGACTAACTTCAAGAGGGAATTGTTGGAGTCCTAGTGAAAAGCTGTGAAAAGTAGGGTTCAACCGTGTTGGATGTGAGGCTGTTACCCATCAAAGACAATGAAAGACGGTCATGAAATATCGTTAATTGGTTGAAGTAGGATGCTGGCTCACTAGTTAAGAGTTTAGGCGTTCTCCCCAAATCAAAGGTCTTGAGTTCAGGTTTCACGTGATGGATCGTTCATGCGTACTGTTGATGAGTTTCATACTAAAACGAAACAACCGTCTAGTGCTTCCAATTTTCCAATGATCGTCTAACATTGATTGCTTCATGATTTCAATGAGATAACGATTAAGTTCATAAGAAGAATTTCTCCTGAAATTCCCCTTTTAACAAAATATTTAATCCAGATATTTAATAAACTATTCAAGGTTAAAAATTATCAACTATTTTATTACAACTTAGTACACTAGAGGTAATGCACTCACTGTAAGACTTTATACATATACATGAGTTTGATTACTAGCAAGGTTTCGATCGGATATTGCTAAAGATTATTATGCTAAGGTTAAATAACGTTTCAATACTCCATAGTCTTTAATAAGCTATCAGCTAATCCAGATATTTGTAAGTATAATAATTCTCAATAAACCTTCTAATAAGACAGTATTTAGAAATAATGAAAACAAGTGCTGGTAAGCACTATCAGGGTACAACTAGAAAATAAGCAGTAGTAGTAGTTTGTTACAATAAACATGAAGTATAATTTCACGGCTACTTAAGTATTGTAACTATTCCTGCACTAAATATAATCATATAAATACTGACTAGTGGACAATCTATGTTTGTTTTTTTTTTAACTGCAAAGAAACTATTACTTCATTATTGTGAGCATTTCCTGACGACATATATTGAATAACAATGTATAAATGTCTAGGTGATTGATAAAATCTACCATTATGACATATAACAATAAATGAGATGAATTCTTGGGTGGCTTTATACAACTCCGTCACTATGCAACAAAGGAACAAGATTAGTTGTACACAAATTTATGTGTATTAAATGTAATGCATTAGTTTTGTCTATCTATCATATAAAAAGTCTTATTAGCCCAATCCGTAGAGATGACGTAAATAAACAATTTGAGTGATTAGGATTACTTCTCTTTCCCAATATATATGATATTCTCACATGTTCTCTCATTAATGGTTTTTGTCATGGGTAGATATCATTTTATGTACCATTAAAAATCCAAGTTCATTGGATAGATGTTTCATCATAGTTTAAAGGTCATCAGGAATGTACATATAAAATCCTATTAATGACTAGACTCCATAAAACGCACTAACAATACTATAATCATGTAGTCATTATTGATTGGTTTCAAGATGAGTTAATAACTTAATCCCCAACACAATTGAATGATTGTCCCTTTATATCGCAAACTGATCGGATCTGAAATGTGTTCCATTTTGGATTTTAACTCATTAGTTCAAAAGTTGGACACTCACCACGAGAAATTGATGTCCTGGATTTTTATATACTCTAGCTTTATGGTTTCCCGCTGCTTACGAATCTCATACTATTAGAAAACCATCAGTTCAGTACTCCTCAGTTTTCAGCAATGAGCCAATTGGTATCAATCTGTTATGTAATCCATTTACACATTAAACTGGTCTGCATAAACCCTATCAAATTCATTTGGTATTGTTTGTATGTACCCTTCCATTGTTGTTTAGGACTGTCATTTATGAGTCTCTTGTTGGTATATGTGCATTTTGTGTAGACTGCCTCGATGTAGCCTTAATTTAGAAGCTTTATAAGCAAAGATAGATGGTAGCTACCAGTGGAATCCAGAACTTACATCTCGTTTTATTTGGAACTCATCAGCTGGATGTAGCTGCATCACAGAGTTGATGTTCATTCCGGGACACGACCACATTACCGTTTGCTTTAGGGCTCAGTAGCTCAGTGGATAACACGATAGCGTTTACAAGCGAACGATGCCAGAGTGAACACCAACTCTGTGATGCAGGTACATCCAGCTGAAGAGTTCTAAATAGGACAAAACGCGCGTCCTAGATTACACTGCTAGCCACTATCTATCTTTGCTTATAAACCTCATCAGGTTACACGATTCGTTAAAAATGGGGAAGTTTTTTGAAGCTATAATTAACATAAATTCAAATATTTATTCAAAAATAAACATTTTAAAAGTTTTAACATTTCCAATAATGTTGTCAACGATCATTTATTAGTCTGTATTTAACCAAAGCTAAATATTGATAAAAGATTAATTGTACACCTACATATCGATAACCTAATATTTGATGTAAATTTCTTTACATTATCATAAATAATATTCAATAGAAATTCACCGTTATGACAAAATACCATAGATTTCTTTAATTTGACTTGGTAAACATTATCTTCAAATGATCCTATCTACTTCAAATCACTTCATGTTTACAATGAAACTAAAACAAAATTCCATTCATAAATTAGTTGGATAGCATATAATCTATAAATTTAGCAATTGAAGCTAGACCACCATGGAAAACCTGGAAGCACTGGACTGTGGCTCAATGTCGTGGATTGGTCGAAGTTAGAAATTAACAAAGTTGGATGCCGGCCATCTCCGTGGTCTATAGGTTATGTGTTTGCGCACGAGACTGATAGGTCCTGGGTTTGGACCTCGCGACGTGGGATCGTGTAAGACAATGCTAAGACGAAACAACCGTGCAGTTCTTCCAAATTTTCCATGGTGATCTAGCTTCAATTGATTCATGAATTCAACACAATATAAATTTTTAAACTCTCCACAAAATCCCCTTCTGATAATAATAGATTATCAGAAGGATTTTTATAGATATTATAGTAATTTCAATGATTGAGATTATGAGCCAATTGAAGCTAGACCACCATGGAAAGCCTGGAAGCACTGGACGACCGTTTCGTTCTACTGTGGGACTCCTCAGCAGTGCGCATCCACGATCCCACCACGCGAGATTCGAACCCAGTACCTAATAGTCTCGCGCATGAGCGCTTAACAGCTAGACGATTGAGCCGGCATCCCTTCTGGTATGAATTAACATATGCTCACTAGTGACTGGCTTCAATAGGTATTTCTTGGAGTTCTAGTGAGGAGCAGTGGACAGTGGATTCGAACCAGGTCTGTTGTGAGATAGTAACTCAATGAACACAATGATGGATGTATCGTTCAATAATAGATTAGTTAAAATAATCTATTCACTTCATTAACACAACATGTATAATAACATTTATATCCGATCTAAATTCTAACTATTAATCATTTATAATAATTAATAAATAAATATAAATAGAATTTACTTAGGAAAAACCCTTTTTCATTTTAACAATATTAAATCACTGTATGACCTTGAAATTAGTCTGATATCATTGTACCATTTCTTTACTCAATAAATATAATAATAATAATAATAATCTATCTATTCTAATGAAAATACAACATTGAAACTAAATATACAAAAAAAATTATTAAAAAAAAATTTAAAAAAAAACAAGGAACCAATTAAAATTTGAGTAGAATTGAATTAACCAATTAGAAAAAAGAACAAAAAGGTAATAGGTAAAATTAGTTTATAAACAGAATAAAAATACAGTAGTACATTTACATATGTGTATTTTATATATTTAAAAAGAATTTAGTTAAGTAACATAATACTGAATTCTATGGATATATCTATACAAATTATGAAATGATCTATTCACTTATAAAAATACAAAGTTATATCATCTCATAAGAAGAAAAGAAGAAAAAAAGGAAAAAGAGAAAAAAAGAAGATAAAAAAGGAGAAAAAAGAAAAAGAAGAAAAAAACGAACAAAAAATCAATTATCTAATAAATTAAAATAAGAAATAAATTTATTTGAACTAATATAAATTACAAATGTTACATAAGTTATTCTATATGAATCTTATCTGATGGCTACAGGATTTCAATATTTAATTGAAGTAGATGTGGATCATGAATTATTAACTACAACTGTATTACCTTCAGTGAAATTAATTTCTAATTCATTAAATAAAAATTTTGAAAATATAAATAAAAAACAAAAATTTACCGAATTTAATAATAATAATAATAATGATCGTCATGGATTAGGTGTAATTTATGCATTAAATCGTCAATCATTTTCATGTTATTTATTTTTTTTTGGTACAAAAATGAAAAAACAAATTACACCATCACCAAGACAAAGTTTAAAAACATCTCATGGTGAAAAAGTTAATACAAATGTGAAAGGTACTTTTGTTTTAATTGTTTAATTCATATTAATATCTAGATATTATATGATTATTAATTATTAAAATGTTGGATTCATGAATCATGAATTGATCTAAGCTAGATTATCATTGAAAACCTTGAAGTACTGAATGGCTGTTTCGTCCTAGTAAGGGACTCCTTCAGTCAGTCAGTCAGCTTCAACGTAGGACTAGGCACATGGATGCATCGGTCCAAGTCGCCATGTATCATTAGCACAGCAAAATGAATACCGGATTCATATAAGTAGTTGATTCAATGGTGTTAATATATAAAAGAAAGATTGCATATAAGGATTTAGGACGTAGAAAGAAAGATATGAAGCGATTTTAATTTCTTAGTTTGAAGGAAGACAGAATGTGTATATACCTATGATAGTCCTTAGCACTGAGTATACATGATCCTCGTACGCGGGATGAAAGAACTGTTAAACTGTAGTTTTAAGTCTAATATTTGAATTTTTTTTATTTGAGTGTCATGTTTGACTGAGATGATTTTACTAAACTCCAATAATATTAATTATTTCATTTCCAAATAAAGATTGACTGAGTTATTGACTGAGGTAGATTATTCAAATATTGTTCTATTAACTTTATTTCTGTCATTGATCAATGAAATTTGTAGAAATTTAAAACGAATGAGCTTGACTAATATAGATTGTAAGATTTCCAATATTCTCGTCTCTGGACAATCAAATATATCTTGTGGAGAATAAACAAGGGAAAATCAGGCAAATTAAAAGCCTAAGACTGGAATTATCTTTATTCAGATAACCACTAAAATCTTTTCATGAATATTCACCTGAAGAGTTTATAGCATTATCAACGTATCTAACTGCTTAGTAATTAAGAATATATATATATATATATATAATGAAACAGTTTATACATTGTTGCATCACTTCTGTTGAACTCTTGAGATTAAAGGCTACAAAATAAATGTAATTAATGAGTGGTAGACAAGAGACATATAAAATAGTCGATTACCAAGGTTATTGGTCAAAACTCACTAATTCGATACAATCATGTGTTATATCAAATAAATACCTGGTATTGTAGTGAATACAAGACTCAGGTGGGCGTAATCATTTTTTTTTTATTTGGTGCAAAATATGAAAGCTATACACCACATACATTACTTTCACATCTTAAGTTATTCTTTACATGCTTTATGATTCTTTCAATTCCATTGTTATTACAGTTACTCTGTATTTACATTCATATTCTTTTCAATTCAATCTTTTATACTACCAGGCGTCTCACTCCCGAATGGTGTTACACACCATTTATATATGTCAACATAAGTAGCATACACCACAATATAATAAATACTATGATTTATAATGGTTTTTAAAAGTAGAACTAGGGTTGTTGCAAATTGAGTTTGTTAAAGCTAAAGAAAAAAAAGACTAATACAACAATTAACCAAGTAGTTGATTTAATCCACAGAAACAACGACTTATCACTTTAGTAATACTACTAAAATAAAAAGGGGAGTCATTAGATAAAGACCCCCTATGTATCCATGGTTTTATTATCATCTAAAATATTTTCAAAAGTTAAACAGATGTGGCAAAAATTTTCTTTTGTTCACTTGCCTTTTTAAAGACTAGTCATTCGTTATTAGTGAGTATCCTATGGTGTTAACGTGTTCACTAAACCATACATAGAGATTCATGCTTTTTAAACTTTAATTACACTATAGGTTTGCAATTCATTCTTATGTGATAATTTACAGAACACATAGAAATGTCATTCATTCATCATTATAGCAAAGATGCGCACTGCTAAGGAGTCCTACAGTAGGACGGAACGGCCGTCCAGTTCTTCCAGGTTTTCCATGGTGGTCTAGCTTCAACGGACTCATGATCTTAACCATTGAAAGTTACAAATGTTCGTCAAACTGATAGAGAACTATTGGAGTATGGTTTGTTTTTAAAAAAAGACTTCATTCAATACTTTATCAAACATCTTCATGAATAATGAATAAATCAATAAATAATCCCTTACATCACATATTATTTGTAACTGTAACAATGGAATTTGTGTTTTAGTGTCAAAACATTTGTAAAACTATTTAAAGTATAATCTTCTGCCAGTAAAGTACTATATTAATTACAAACTAAGCAAATGGTGGATTTCTTTATTCTTCCTTCCCTAATGACTTTTTTCGATCCCATTCAGAATATAAACTCTAAATTAAATGATTTAAACCTATGGTATCCTTTGTATCAAAGCTAGTTTATTGCAAATAATTATTAGATTATTGTGAAGGTCAATTTTGAACTGGTTAACATTCATTAACATAGTATATCTATAAACTTTGGAAAATTGAATCTTGTTCCAGTGTTTAAAATATGGTAGTCTATCTACCCATGATTGAAAGTCTGATCAGCCCAAACAGCTTGGTGACTGATGACATCTCAGCACAGATTCAGAAAGCTCGTTTGACTTTTGCCAACTTACGTCACCTATGGGGAAAGGCGAGATATCCATCTATCAATTAAGGTACGAGTATATTGCTTGGCAGTTCGTTTTCTACTCTGCGGCTGCGAAACGTGACTGGTCAGTTATTAGTATCTGATCACAGATGTCTCAAAAATAATTCCAGCATCTGCTGGGATCACATGCTATGTAATATTGAAGTTAGATGTCGGTAATAGTGAATGGTGTTAAGACAATCGACGAGGGTATAAATCTTCATCGACTAAGATGGTTGGTTCACGTGTTGCGTACACTTAAACATCGTTTACCACGACGCACAATGCTGACTAGTGTTGGAGACAGTTAGGGGAGGCCAAACCGAAACGTGGCATCAATCCATAATGTCACTAACTTCTAGTTTGATCCATGTTGATAGATGCAAACTAATTGGTTTGGGTTCGTGTGACTATCTCAATAAATAGTTAGAGAATCTGAATGACATGGCTCAGAATCGATCATAATGGTGTAGGTGTATACACTCTCTGTCTTCCTCTAAAATTGCTCTATATCTTTCTACGAACTAATTCTTTCTTCCTGTACTATATCCTTATATACAATCTTTCTTTTATATATTACCACCATTGAATTAACTACTTCTATGAATCCGGTGTTCATCTTGATGTCCTAATGAGTTGAGGCATGGCAACTTGGACCGATGTATATATGTGCTTAGTCCTACGTTGTAGCTGACTGATAGACTGATTACCCACTATATCCAGTTTCCTAGGACAAAAGATTCTTAATGAATAATATTTTAAAGCTGGTTAAGTAAAAACAAAAGTGGTATTACAGAATATACTTATAGATTTATATTTTATTCGTAATTCAAATTAATATATTGTTTTAGGAAATTGTTCAATGTTAATTTTCGTAACCTTGGTAGTTATAGCTAATCTATAAATTCACAACAAAAATAGTCAGATTTTGTGTCTGAAAAATGTGTTTAATAGTTATTGCTTGATGTCAAACTGGGCAACATTGATGACATTGAACACTGAATAGCGGTTTTCTTTTAGTATGAAATTCTTTAACAGTATGTACTTACTTATAACTCTATGGAGGATTGTACATAAGACATTCAGCAATTGTGATAAACTCTTAATCGTCAAACCAAAGATAAAGAATTTAATAACCCATATATACAAATTTGTATTTCAATATATTAAGTGTTTCAGAGTTACAGCCTGTTTACTGTAACATTTATTACTTTAAATAATAATTCTAGCTTCGTAGTATTTTCTTTTAACGATCAAAATACTATATAGAATTGAGATTGTGGAACTTCACATTACTAACATTAAGAAAAGTAATTGAACAGTCTCTTTTGGGAAATGTACTTCCTCAGAGGATTGTTTCAGTATTGGTATATTGTCATAAGATTTTAGTAAAGTTGAATAAATGCTAACAGTGGAGTCTAAGACCCATTTCTCGTCTTATTTGGGACGGATACATTCCTTTTGCACAATGTATTATTTGTTTAAATCCAGCCGTTTAGTAAATAACACGTTGGACTTTAAAAACGAAAGGTATTAGATTCAAGTTTCACCAGGAACATTAACATATTCGGTTGACGTGACTTAAATAGAACGAAACGCATGCCACTATCCAACTTTGTACTGTTATATTACTTTTGGCATGTTTTAACATTCAGTTGATTAAATGCTCATCAGCAAAGTTGAAATTCAACTAGCCAACCATTCATAGTCATATATTTATTGATCAAAATGAATCTCATCCAAGTTATTTACTTACTTACGCCTGTTACCATGACTCTCCATCCAACCCAATCATCTCATCAAAGTGACTGACTTTAAATATTAATTATTATTTGTCACATTATTCTTTATTCAGCGACCTATTTTCTTATAAAAGATTATGGATTGTAATGAGTTCCTATTCCATTTCATTCCACTACACAGAACTGTGTACTTTTAGATTTAAAAGTATTCAATATAAAAATGTCATGCTGATAAACATTCACCAACATAAAACTGTAGAGTATACTTTATGGATGTGCTAATCAGGATCGAGAACATGACTTAAAGGATTCTTCAATAAATTCAATTATCCTATAGAATGATCAGTAGAAATAATTTTCTAAGCTACTTAAAATACTTAAAATGATAGAGAAATATTATTTTTATACTGTCACAGAATAAAATAGATGGTTTTAAATGCGTAAATACTTAACCATATCTCTTTAGATTGTATATAACAAGCAAATTGACAATATCCGTGAATACTAACTCTAAACCCTTAATCCTGAAACAAACCTTAACCTAGGGGTACTATTTATGATAAAATGAACTAATCGAATAGCACTACTTATATTTTTAAGCAATATTCATTTATCCATATGGATACAGAGAACTTTTAAATTATATCTGATATCATTTCGTGATTAAAACCATAACCCTAAACCACTAACACGTTCTAAATATCTAATCTTAACTAGAAACAATATAGAAGATCTTAAAAATCTATTTCGATTCTTTTTTG